AATAGCGTACTGAATGGAGGAAAACTGAAAGCTTTTCCACTTAAAACTAGAACCAGACAAGGATGTCCTCTATCACCACTACTATTCAACAGAGTGCTGGAAGTTCTAGCCAATGCAATCAGGCAAGAGAAGGATATAAAGGGCATCCAAATGGGGGCAGAGAAGGTCAAACTGTCCCTCTTTGTTGATGATACACTCTTAGAAAACCCCAGAGACTCAACCACAAGACTCCTGGAAGTGATCAAAAAATACAGCAATGTTTCAGGATATAAAGTCAATGTCCACAAGTCAGTAGTAGCCTTTGTATATGCCAATAACAACCAAGCTGTTAAGCAAATCAAGGACACAAACCCCTTCATAGTATCTTCAAAGAAAATGAAATAATTAGGAATATACCTAAGAAAAGAGGTAAAGGACCTCTACAAAGAGAATTAGGAAACCCCAAGAAAGGAAATAGCAGAAGACATTAACAAATGGAAGAACACACCATGCTCTTAGCTCTTAGACATTGTTACAATGTCTATGCTTACCAAAGCAATCTACAGATTCAATGGAATCCTCATTAAAATATCAATGTTGGATTGGCACCTGTAGCTCAGTGGTTAGGGTGCTGGCCAAATACACTGAGGCAGGTGGGTTAGAACCCAGCCCAGGCCTGCTAAACAACAATGACAATTGCAACAAAAAAGCAGCCAGGCATTGTGGCAGGTCCTTGTAGTCCCAGCTACTTGGGAGGCTTAGGCAAGAGAATCACTGAAGCCCAAAAGTTTGAGGTTGCTGTGAGATGTGATGTCATAGCACTCTACCAAGGGTTACATAGTGAAACTCTGCCTTAAATAAATAAATAAATAAAATAACAATGTCATACTTTGAAGAACCAGAAAAAATAGTTCTTGGTTTAGTATGAACCAGAAGAAAACCTGTATAGCCAAGGCAATTTTAGTAATAAAAACAAAGCTGGAGGCATCACTCTACCAGACTTTGGGTTATATTACAAGTCTGTAGTGATCAAAACACCATGGTATTGGCCTAAAAATAGAGACACAGACATATGGAACTGAATAGAAAACCAAGGTATAAAATCAGTCTCTTTAGCCATATGATCTTTGATAAACCAAACCAAATCATACACTGGGGAGAAGAACCTCTGTGCAATAAATGGTGCTAGGAGAACTAGATAACCAGATGTAAAAGAGTGAAACTGGACCCACACCATTCACAATTTACAAAAACTGACACAAGATGGATAAAAGATCTAATCTAAGGCATCAAATGATAAAAATCCTGGGGAAAAGTATGGGGAAAAACTCTTGAGGAGGTCAGCTGGGGGAAAGATTTTATGAAGAAGACTTCTGTGGCAACTGCAACAACATAAAAATAAGCAAATGGGACTTAATTAAACTGAAAAGCTTCTGCACAGCTAAGGACAGAACAATTAAAGCAAATAGACAACCTTCAGAATGGGAAAAGATACTTGCATTTTACCAATCTGACAAAAGGTTGATAACTAGTATCTATAGAGAAGTCAAACAAATCAACAGAAAAAGAGCAAACAATGCCCTCTATCAGTGTCAGAGACATTAACAGAACCTTCTTTGAAGAAGACAGACTAACAAACATGAAAAAAATGCTCATCTCCCTAATCATTAGAGAAATGCAAATCAAACCCTGAATTATTACCTAAGCCCATTGAGGATAGCACATCACAAAGCCCAAAGTTGTAGATGCTGGTGGGGATGTGGACAGAGGGAAACATTGTTTGTTTGTTTGTTTTGAGACAGGGCGTCACTTTGTCACCCTTAGTAGAGTGCCGTGGCATCAGAGCTCACAACAACCTTAAACTCTTGGGCTTAAGCAATCCTCTTGCCTCAGCCTCCTGAGTAGCTGGGACTACAGATGCCTGCCACAACACCTGGCTGTTTTTTTGAGATGGGGGTCTCACTCTTGCTAATGCTGGTCTCAAGCCTGTGAGCTCAGGGCAATCCACCTGCCTCGGCCTCCTAAGTGCTGGGATTATAGGCGTGAGCCACCACACCCAGACTGTAAACTAATATAGCCTCTTTGGAAAGAAGTACAGATACTCCTCAAAGAACTCAAATTAGATCTCCCATTTGACCCTGAAATCTTACTACTAGGCATCTACCCAGAAGAAAAAAAACCTTAACTGAAAGACATTTGGACTAGATTGTGCAAATGAGTTTGTATGTTTGTTCTCAAATGCACTCCTCAGAAGGAACAGGGAGTTGCATAAGCCTGTGAGTAGGGAGGCCTGCATCTTTTGACTAAGAAGAGCTAAGAGATTCTCCCTGGTTGACAGAAGAGCTCCTTGGTCTTCCAGTCACAGTTCCATCTGTGGGCTGTTTTGAGATACTCTCTATTAAAGTATTTTTGAGTGTGTGCATTTGGTTATTAGAGCAGAAGTTTGCTTATGGAAGGCTCTTGAGTGGACTTTTCTTGTGATTACTTACGAATACATAATTGACATTAGTTTGTGTGTTAATGGGCACCTATAGAGTGGTCATTCTCTCCTTTTTAGATAGAGCCTCAAAGCTATTGCCCCAGGTAGAGTACCGTGGCATCACAGCTCACAGTAACCTCCAACTCCTGGGCTCAAGCAGTTCTCCTGCCACCGCCTCCCAAGTAGCTGGGACCACAGGCGCCCACCACAACACCTGGCTATTTTTTGGTTGTAGCCGTCATTGTTGTTTGGCAGGGCCCAGCCAGATTCGAACCTGCCAGCTCAGGTGTATATGGCTGGCACCTTAACCGCTTGAGCCACAGGTGCCGAGTCAGGGGGTCATTCTCTTAAACTACTGATTTATTTTTAGCAACTCCTTCCCCTTTCAGAAATGGTGTACTGATAAATTTCTTCTAGACCAAGCTAGTGAGGTTTAATCTAGTTTCTGTTTGTTCATTTCTCCTTGCCAGTGGAGGTTAGATGTTGAGAGTCCTTCTGAGCTTGGATAATTCATGAGAGACATTAAGAAGGAACATTAAGATTCCTCTCTCTTACCACTTTTTGCCTTTTTTCCTACAATCTCAGATACTATCAACTGTAGGGCTCAGTGCTTTCAGTATTACCCCACCTCTACCAGCCCAAAATTCCTACCAACTGGCCCACTGCTTATTTTGTAGAAATGGCCAAGTCCAGCCAGCAGATGCAGGAGGTAAGACATAGGGATGTTATTATCTGGAAAGCCAGGCCTCTGTACTTAAGTATATTCAGCTGGCTCATCTCTAACATGACTTATAACAACATTATGGGGAGCAGCCCAATAATGGGGGGCATGTTGTCAGAGAACAATGATCTCTTCTTGAGATTGTCCACTTCAGAGTCATGCCAGTCACCACCAATTAGATAAACACAAGAATATTTTCTTTATCTGGACACTTAAGTAGAGAAAAAGTACTGTGAGAAATTTGGTTTACAAAGTAAAGATAGCCCCTTGCATTTCCTAGCTGTCATATGGTGTGGTGGATAGAGAAGACAACGGTTCTTATCTGGGCATTGCCAGTTAACAGGGCTGTGACTTGTAGATAATAATTTTCTCTGGGCCTTAGTTTTCTGTTCTTTGAAATGAGGGATTAGGGGATTTGAACCTGCCAGCTCAGGTGTATATGGCTGGTGCTTTGGCTGCTTGAGGAGACGAGGGAAAGTATTTGGGGGGACCTCACCTAATGTGCATGATGCAATGGTACATTTCAAAACTATTAAGAAACAAGTATAATTGTGATGGGTATGTTACTTAGTTCAATATACGCATTTCACATTGTATATCGAAGCAGTATTCTGAACCCCATAAATGCATCAATGTACAAAGTTATGATTTAATAAAAAATAAAATAAAATGAGGGATTAATGTGTGTCTCTGAGATAGTAACTTGGGAGTTAGGTAGAACTTGGTCCTAATTTTGCTTTGGGAGGAAGGGAATTGCCAACAGCTAATCTAAGATACAGTTGGCCCTCTGAATCCATGGGTTCCACATCTATGGATTCAACAAACTACAAATCCAAAATTAATTGAGGACAAGACATTCCACAAAGTTCCCATAAGAAAACATAAATTTATCATGAGCTGAGCACTACATTGAATCCACGAGAATGAATTGAACTATAGGCATTGTATTAGGTACTAAAAGTAATCCTAGATTGGAGGATCACTTCTGAGGTTTATCTTACAAGGGTACGAGTGAATCTTTCTAAGAGTAGAATGTGAACATTTTAAAATAATAACTAAGAAAATGACATGAAGGCTATGTTAATCAGTCTGATGGAAGTGTTTCGGATTGTGTGTGAAAACCCCACACTGTACCCCAGAAGTGCATTAATGTACATAGTTACCATTCAATTAAAAAAAAAAGTAATCCTAGAGCTAGGTTATAGGCAAATTTTATGGCACTGGTAGAATTGGGGGTCCCTCACAGATACCAAGGAAAAATGATATATTTTAATAGTGCTCTTGCATCTCAAGGTAGAATTTAGGGAGCTCCTATACTGATGGCACCAAGGGAAGCTAAACTAGAGATAAGCCCAGACATGTCTCTGTACAAATTTTTACTGTTAATTCTGTACACACTGACAGTCTCTCATCTTTCCACTGAAATATGTACGTGTTGGAAGAGGCCAGGCATCTGCTTGAGTTTGTTCTCTGTGTGGTGCATTGAAGAAGGGCAGTGAGGTGCACGCTGGCTTAACCTCAGTGTGCAGACAGCAGGAAGAGGGAGAAGTCAGTCTTCCTTCTGAGATACACACTGGGAGCGGGAAGGTCACTTTGAACCTCTGGCTCCACCACTGACACATTTGATCCCTTGCACAGTGCTCAGCCTGTGGGCCTCATTGTGCTCATGTGGAAAACATGGGGGTTGAAATAGATGGTTTACAAGTCCCATAGTTTCCAGAGTGTAAACTATCTATTCCCTGTTCCAGTGAACCCTAAGTAGTGGCCACCCCAAATTCCAATAACAAAAACTGACAACTCTTTGCATTTTGGATTCAACAGAAGCTGCACAATAAGCAGGCTGCTATGGAGAAGTTGGAAAAGGCCAAGCCACTGTGAGCACTTAGGAAATATGGAAAGAAGGTGAGCAGGAAAATGTGCAGGGAGCAGGATGAGGCCCAGTGTATTTGTCAGATCAGATGGCTGTGGTCTGCTCGGCCCCCAGCCCTGTGTGTGAGATGGTGTATTTCTTGTCTCACAGTGGCGCATGTGCTGGTGTCCATTCATGAGCACAGGCTTGCTTTGAGAGCCGCATGT